CCCTAGGGTGAAGGTTGATCTGATGCGCCGCGTACCGAACCGCAAACGGCCACAGAAAATGGGGGGCAGCCGCATGCATCATGGACGTACGGGCGACGTCCATGACCATGCCAATGCGGCGCTCAGCAATCCCATTTTGCTGTGGAGAGTCCGGAAGCGTGAAGGTCTGGCGGATGCCTCGCGCACGACAGTAGGCTCGCAGAAGGCCAGAGGAGAACTCTCCACCTCTGTCAGAGTGCAGACGCAGAACAGGAAAGTCCGAGCCGAAGCTCTCCCTGAGCTGGAGACGAGCTGCGCGGATCCAGTCGATCAACACCTCAGTGACATCACCCTTGCTGCGCAAGGGGAAGACTGTGGTGTAACGCGAGTAGTCGTCAACCACCAGCAGGAAGTAGCGCTCGTGACCCTGTCCACGGACGCGGGCCGGGCCCCACACGTCCATGTGAAGCGTCTGCAGCGGGGCCTCTGTCGGAGGAAACTGGGAGGAGTGAGGGGCAGCCCGCTGCCGCCCCTCGACACAGGGGACGCAGGTAGGGCCAGGCCCCGGAGGAAGGGGAGGGAGGGACCGGGGAAGACCAGAGACAAGGACACGGGAGGCCATGCCTCGGAGACGAAGCAGGGAGGGGTGACCAAGGCGGTGGTGCCAGAGGAGAGTCTCGTGAGACAGGAGGCGACACGAACAGGGGGCAGACTCAGGACCAGACCTGGACGCTGCAGCAAACACCTGACCCGACGCAGCTACCTGACCAGACGCAGTGACTGGAGGAGACGCAGTGGTCAGGGTGTACAGGCTCGACCCCGGCCGACGGGTAAACGTGGCCAGGTGTCGGCCAGTCCGAGCGTCCGTGCAGTGGGTCACCCGCTGACTCGCAGGAGTGAACTGGTGAACCCCCGCATCCTGTAGGTCAGCACCACTCACCAAGTTCGTAGAGAACGAGGGGAGGTAAAGACCAGACAGGGTGCCAGAGGGGGCCGCCGGACACGGGAGGACAGTGGAGAAGTGAGCAAGGACAGGACCCCCAGAGGGGTCTGCCAGAGAGACCGCAACTGGCCGGCCAAGCGGCGTGAGTGTGGTGCGGTCTCGAAAGAAGGAGCGAGAAGCCCCCGAGTCAAGGGTGAAGGTGTGGGAGGCCGAAGCCGACGCAGAACCTGAGAGAGCAGACTCACCAGCACCTGAGGGAGAAGACGCACCTAGAGCAGCAGCCTCGCTAGCACCTAGAGCAGCAGCCTCACCAGTACCTAGAGCAGCAGTCTCAATGCCCGGGTCGGGCGGAAAACACCGGTAACAGTCACCCTCATCACTAATAGTCACAGTATACATAGCAGCAAGAATAGCATCAAAGTCAAGGTCAAAGACAGCGACACCCGCCCTAGACAGCTCACCCCAGCGGGGGATCTCAGTGGCCTCAGGGAACTGGTGACGCCAAGCGTCTGTCAGGCGGCCAAAGCAGCGCTGGGTGGAGTGCGCACCCCCGCACTGGTCACCCGCGCGGTCGCCGGTGCGGAGGACGTAGGTGCACGGACCAGTACCCCCACCCCGCTGGCGTGCAGCGTACCACTCACGGAGCTGCTGAGGGGGGGGGATGTCACAAGTGCGCTGCTGCTGCTGCTGCTGCTGCTGGCGCTGACCACCACCGGAGCCGACCCTCTGCGCAGCGCCACCCCGACCAGCTCCACCTCCTCCGCCGCCGCCTCCTCCACCGCCGCTACCTCCGCTCCCACCGCCACCGCCGCCGCCGACACCTCCACCCCCACCACCACCCCCACCGCCACCCCCACCCCCTCCACTGCCTCCACCGCCGCCTCCACCACCCCCGCTAGCTCCTCCAGTGCCCCTGCCCCCCTTGCCCTTGCCAGGGCGGCGTCTCCCGCTAGGGGTAGACGCCGCACCGACCGACTCAAGCCCAACGAGGTCGGCCGCAGCAGCAGAGGCAACAGAGGGCAAAAGGGGGGAGGGGGAACACCCCTCAAAGATGGGGGTGCGAGGGTCACCACGAGAGGCTCCTACAGCGACTATGCTCTTCTCTGCTGCGAGGAGGGACTTCTCGAGGAGGTCAACGGTGAGAGTGGTGGGGCAAACTGAGAGGAAGTGGTCCCTGACTACGCGAAGGGAGTCAGGGAGCCGGGTGACTATGTAGTAGAGGGTGATGTACATGGGGGGGGGGGTTCTTGGCGCAGAACTCAGCAAGAAGCGCAGCGCGGTAGCGAGTGTCACTAGTGCGGAGGTGCGTAATGAGGTCAGCGACTGTGGGAAAGGCAGCAAGGTCAGGGAAGAGGTACGGTAGCATGAGGCGGCTCAGTGCAGCAGTGGCAGGGGAGGAGTAGCGCGCAACTACAGCGTCGTACAAGGTGTGAGCACTCTTGTACTGGCTAAAGTGCGCACGCTCAGAGGTAGGCAGGTGGCGACGCACAGCAAGACGTGCAGCAGCATCGCGCGTGGCCCACTGTGAGCGAACAGTGGCGTCAGCATCAGCAGCGGGGGCAGGGGAGGCACCAGAAGTGAGGTCAAAGAGGGAGAGGCCGTCTGCTCTGTCGCACTGTAAGAAAAGCTGCAGGTCATCTATCCAGACGTCAAAGTCAATGGCCCGACCCTCAGCGTCAAAAGCGAGGACACTAGGGGTAGCCATGACAGCAGTAGACTAGCAGCGCAAACAGTAGGGTGAGGGCAGTGCTGTGAAAGAGGCGCTGCTCTTACCGGACAGGGCGGCACGGGTGGCTCGGCTGCAGGGCGGCTCGGCGGCTCGGCTGCTGGGCGGCTCGGCGGGTCGGCTGCAGGGCGGCTCGGCGGCTCGGCTGCTGGGCGGCTCGGCGGCTCGGCTGCTGGGCGGCTCGGCGGCTCGGCTTCTGGAAGGCTCGGCTGCTGGGCGGCTCGGCGGCTGGGCGGCTCGGCTGCTTGGTGGCGCGGCGGGGCCGCTGAGAGGGCGGCGTCCGGGGCCGCTGGGAGGAGGCGGCGAGGCCGCTGAGAGGAGGCGGCGGGGCCGCAGGTAGGTGGCGGGGCCGCTAGTAGGTGGCGGGGCCGCAGGTAGGTGGCGGGGCCGCTGGTAGGTGGCGGGGCCGCAGGTAGGTGGCGGGGCCAGCACAGGTAGGTGGTGGGGCCGCGGGTAGGTGGCGGGGCCGCTGGTAGGTGGCGGGGCCGCTAGTAGGTGGCGGGGCCGCTGGTAGGTGGCGGGGCCGCTAGTAGGTGGCGGGGCCGCAGGTAGGTGGCGGGGCCGCACAGGTAGGTGGCGGGGCCGCACAGGTAGGTGGCGGGGCCGCGGAGGGCGGCGACGAGCCGTAGGGGGGGGCCGTGAGGGGCCGCGGGAGGGGTCGTAAGGGGCGTAAGGGGGGGCCGCGCGAGGGGCCGTAAGGGACGGCGCGAGGGGCCGTAAGGGGCGGCACGAGGGGCCGTAAGGGCGGCGCGACGGGCGCGACGGGCCGGAAGAGCGGCACGAAGGGCCGTAAGGGCGGCGCGAAGGGCCGTAGGGGGCGGCGCGACGAGCCGTGAGGGGGCCGCTAAGGGCGACGCGACGGGGCCGTGAGGGGCCTAGCGAGGGCGCGACGGTAGGGAGAGCACACAGGGCGCGACTCGGGCCTGAGCGAAGCGCGCTCCGGGCAGGAAAAAAAAAAAATTCGTGGTGGTGGGCCCTAGGAATCGTTCCCACTAGGGAACCTGCTCGATACCATGAGAAGAAACGAGGAATGAATTGACTAAGGGAAAGTTGGGTACAAAAAGCAAACCCTAGAAACTGTACCCCATATGTGCTACCCCACTATAGCCTACAATAGCTATGTCATATAAATCTGACACTGCCCTCTCAAGTCGTCACTTTTGACGAGTCGGTGCCCTACTACCGCCTCTTCCCCTACCGCACTGCCCCGCTCCCCCCCCCCCGCCTCTCTTCCTCGCGCCAGGTGCTGCTGTGGTAGACCCCCTCCCCCCTCAGGGTGCCGCTCCCTCAGGTGTGTCCCAGGTAGACCCGGTTGAGCCTGTCGAGGTAGCTGTCGACTCTCGTCCTGCTAGGGGTGCTGAGCCTGAGCGTGCGGAGCCTGGGGGTGCGGAGCCTGGGGTTGCGGAGTCTGGGGGTGCGGAGCCTGCGGGTGCTGAGTCTGGGGGTGCCGAGCCTGAGGGTGCTGAGTCTGGGGGTGCTGAGCCTGAGGGTGCTGCGACTGAGAGTGCTACACCTGGAGGCGCTCTTTCCTCATAGCAGCTGCGTGAGTGGTACTTACAGTACTGCAGCCTCAGGAGAGGTGCTGCTGGAGCTCGTGCTCGTGCTTCCCCTCCTAGGCGGGAGCTGCCCTCTCCCCAGCGGCTTCGAGAGTGGTACGCTCGTCGCTGCAGTCTCCGGAGTGGCGCTACTAGTGTCGCGGACCCTGGAGCTGGAGGTGCTGCTGGTGCTGGAGCTGCTGGAGGTGGTGCTGCTGCTGTCGCTGCTGGAGGTGCTGCTGGTGCTGACGCTGCTGGAGGTGCTGCTGGTACTGGTGCTGCTGGAGCTGCTGGAGGTGCTGCTGCTGCTGGCGGTGCTGCTGGTGCTACTGGAGCTGCTGGAGGTGCTACTGGAGCTGCTGGAGGTGCTGCTGGTACTGGTGCTGCTGGTGCTGGTACTGCTGGAGCTGCTGGAGCTACTGGTCCTGGAGGTGCTCGTACTAGAGGTACTGGAGCTGCTGGGACTGGAGCGGCTGAGGGGACTGGAGCTGGAGTTGCTGAGCGGCCGAGGCCGTACTACGTTCCGCTCCTTCAGCAGGTTCTTGGTCTCCCGCCCTCTACAGGTCCTACTCCTCCCCTATTGAGTCCACCGCCTGTCCAGTCACAGTTACAGCCTGCCTCTCCACTCCCTGGTCCTTCTCCTTACACTGCGCCGACGGGCAGTCTTACTGAGCATCGTGAGCCTGAGTCTCGTCCTCCGTCGCCTGAGTCTAGTCCAGAGTCGCCTGAGTCGCGTCCAGAGTCGCCTGTCCGAGCTGTCCGCGCTGGTCGTCGTGCTCCGCGTGAGCGTCCTCCTCCTGTCCTTGGCACTCACTATATGACCCTGCGTCCTTCCACTGCTCCACAGCGCGTCCCTCTGCCGTCTCCTACTGCGTCCTCTCTTCCTGACGTTGCTGACCCGCCGTCAGACCTTACTCGTGCTGCCAGTCCTACTGTCGCGCGTCTCCTTGCCACTGTTGTCACTGACCCTACCTTTGAGTCCTCTGCTGCGTCTGCTCTAGTCACTGAGCTTGTTGACTTTGCTGCCGCCTGTCGTCTAGACTACGCCGCTAGCCTTGTTGCTGAGTCTGAGTCTGTCTGTCCTCCGTCCGTCGGGGGTGAGTGTGCTCTTGGCACGGACGTCCTTGAGGACAGACAGGAGGAGTTTGAGTGCTTTGCTGCTACTTTACCTCATCTCGTGTCCATGCTGATTGCCCCTGAGGGAGACCCGGATGCACCAGACATCCCGACCCCACGCTCCTATGCAGAGGCGATGGAGGGTCTCTACTCCTCTCAGTGGCAGACAGCCATGGACGCAGAGATGGCTTCCTGGAAGTCCACAGGCACCTACGTCGACGAGGTTCCCCCACCTGGGGCGAACATCGTCAATGGCATGTGGATTTTCAGGGTGAAGCGGCCGCCGGGTTCTCCGCCTGTCTTCAAGGCGCGTTACGTTGCACGAGGCTTCAGTCAGCGAGAGGGAGTTGACTTCTTCCAGACCTTCTCCCCGACCCCGAAGATGACCACTCTTCGGGTTCTGCTGCACGTCGCTGCTCAGCGTGACTACGAGCTCCACTGCCTTGACTTCAGCACTGCGTTCCTACAGGGCACCCTGCACGAGGAGATCTGGCTGCGCCGCCCACCTGGCTTCACTGGGTCGTTCCCTCCTGGTACCCAGTGGAGCCTCCGGCGGCCAGTCTACGGTCTCCGCCAGGCACCCCGTGAGTGGCACGACACACTGAGGACTACTCTTGCTGCTCTGGGGTTTGCTCCTTCTACTGCTGACCCGTCGCTGTTTCTACGCACCGACACCACTCTGCCGCCGTTCTACGTTCTCGTGTACGTAGACGACTTGGTCTTTGCTACTGCTGACACTGAGGCACTCGCCCACGTGAAGTCGGAGCTGCAGAAGAGACACACGTGCACAGACCTGGGTGAGCTGACAAGCTATCTTGGCTTGCGGATCACCCGGGACAGAGCACAGCGCACCATCACCTTGACTCAGTCACACATGGTGCAGCAGGTCCTTCAGCGCTTCCGCTTCACGTACTCCTCGCCTCAGCCCACTCCTCTGCCTACCGGTCACTCGCTCTCAGCTCTGCCTTCGGATGAGTCCTTAGAGCCGAGTGGCCCGTATCCAGAGCTTGTGGGCTGCCTCATGTACCTGATGACCTGCACTCGACCTGACCTAGCCTACCCTCTTAGCATCCTAGCACGCTATGTCGCTCCTGGCCGTCACCGGAAGGAGCACATGGATGCAGCTAAGAGGGTGTTGCGCTACTTGTGCAGTACGTCGGGCATGGGGCTTGTGCTTGGAGGACGGCGCGACGTTGTCCTCACTGGACACTCAGACGCTTCTTGGGCAGACGACCAGGCTACTCAGCGGTCGTCTCAGGGTTACACCTTCAGCCTTGGCTCTGGCTCTGTTTCCTGGCGTTCTACACGCTCTTCTTCTGTTCTCAGCTCCAGTTGTGAGGCTGAGATCTACGCCACAGCCATGGCTGCCCAGGAGCTTCGCTGGCTCACCTACCTGCTGACCGACCTGGGAGAGCGGCCTCGTTCTCCTCCAGTGCTGTACGTCGACAACAAGGCCGCCCTTGCCTTATGTCAGGAGCACAGACTGGAGCACAGAACGAAGCAAATCGCTCTGCGCTACTTCCTTGCTCGAGAGCTGCAGCAGCGTGGTCAGCTTCGTCTTTCGTACGTGGCCACTCGGGCCAACACTGCTGATGTGTTCACCAAGGCGCTTCAGCCTTGTGACCATCAGCGTTTCTGTACTGTTCTAGGCCTTGTGCCTACTCTCCCTCACTTGCTCACTTCTTGACTCTGCTTGTACTGTGATCTCTATATATATACCTGCATGCTTACACTTGCTAGGTTGTGATCACTGTACCTCTTGTTTATTATCAAACTGCATGTGAACTGGTCTTGTGACCGCTTGCTTGTGCTCGGAATTTGTGTGGTATCCTTGAGATCCACCCTGAGCTTTGCTTTGCATTGCTTTGCTTTGACTGGTCTTGTGACCATCTGGTTGTCTCCCACTTAGCCTATGGGGGTGTGTCAAACATTGTATGTTTACATTGTGTAGGCTATAGTGGGTTTAGCCTTAGGGGGTACAACACAACTTAGGGTTTCCTACTTGTACCCAACTTTCTGCTAGTTTCATCATTCTCGTTCACTCTCACATTTTAACAGAGTATTGATAACCCATTTTTCTAATGTATTTATGTATAATTTGAAATCTCTCTGCCTATTGTTTTGCGCTAGATTAAGGATTTGGTAAATAATTCTTTGACCTCTACCATGGTGGTAAAATTTCCACCTCTGCCAGTGTAAATTACTAGGATGTTACCAGGGTTAAGACGTTTGTCTGTCTTAGAAATTTGTCCCTGCTGTATATATGTCTTCATGTTCAACTAAGAAAATGGTATCAGGTCCACCTCTTATTACCTGCTCTACTCTATCTTCCATTAGTTTTAAGGTATTAAGGAAATTGGAAATTTTTGCTAACGTAACCCATTCGACCATAATTGGTAACTTTTATTTTTTTACAACGCATATTAGCATATACTAGTTTTCTAGTGGTTATAATAGTGATGGAATTATAGCAATAAAGCGCTCATAGCAAGGTGGAATATAGTTGGATTTTGCCTAGGTGTTGCAATATTTGCAACCCATGCTAGAAACTTCTAGCCACCCCAATCCAATAGTCAAAGTTGCCTTCTTAACCACCAAATATCCATATTTTGTCATGTCCAAGTAATCACCCAGATTAGATGTAACCCCAAAATGTAATAAGAAATCCAAGTATTGGAAATCTTGTAACTTGGGCGATCTTGGTCGGAATAAGGCGATATTGGTATCGTTGGAAAGCTCTAGATTTCTCCTGCATGATCAAGCATTTAAACTTTGAGAAAAACACAGAGATGATAATATCCAACAGCCATGCACAATGATATATGCTCATGCAAACAATGCACGCATCAGTAGCACGAGCACTCGGCAGGACGTTATGATGACATGCACTCAAATTGACGTGCATTCAAAAAACTCCCCCTCAGACTAACGGATTGCATGCACACACACTAACACGCATGCAAACTCACATGCACACAAACATGTTGAAGGAAGTTGGCCCCGCCCTCGCTTAGGCAAAACTGACTTCGTGGTTGGGTGTGTGGGAGATGCAGCGGACCCTCTGCGCGAGATCTGGAGCTTCTACGCAGGTTGGGTAGCCTGTACACGAGGTGTCCTAGGGAACCCATGCTAGAGTAACTGAAGCATCCGCGAGTGCAACGCAAACGTCTCATGCACATGTGCGAGTGGCGCAGTTGGTGCAGAGGTTCGTGGGTGTTCATCTGCGCAGGGTCGCGTCTGACCCTGCGCACCCTCGCAAATGCACAGGAGAATTTTGGCTAGAAATTCGAATGTGCCCTAATTTCGACCAATGAGGAGCTGGAATTTCGAAATGTCGACCGAAGTGGTCGACGGAGTTCGTCGACCCGCGACGACGAAGGTCGTTGACCGCGACGACGAGGGTCGTCGACCGCGACGACGGGGGTCGTCAACCGCGACGACGAAGGTCGTCGACCGTGACGACGAGGGTCGTCAACCAATGATGACGAAGGTCATCGACCTGCAGGGTTACCTGCTCGACGAGGTTCTGCGGAGGTGCGCGCACGTCGTCAAGGCTACTTTGGTCGTGGCAGCACGTGGTCGACGTGGCTCATCAGGTGCAACTGTTTGCATGTGGCCAACCTGGCACCTGCGCAATGTGCGCGACAGTGCACATCGTGCGTAACTGTCTACAAGCATCTGCGAAGTAGGTGCTTGCACATGCGCTAACAATCACCTGCGGATGCAGCGTTGGCAAGCCGCGCGGGTGCAGCGTTGGCAGACCGCCATTCTGCAGCGTTGGCAAGTCGCGCACGAGCTGCGTTGGCAGGCCGCAGACTTGCTGTGTTGGCAAGTCGTCGACTTTGTCGTGCTGGCGATCGACCTGCCTGAGCACTAGCAAACCCTGCATCTGATGTAGTCAATCTTTTGCCATTGCTTGTTCATTCTGAACTCTGTGTTCTCAACTTTCATAGTGAAGCTCTTGCTGTTTTTCCCAGTGAACACAAAAGTCCTAGAGAACACAGACAGAGCTACGATCACTCTTACAACCCGTGCCAACCCCATAGTCTAGCTCCCACCGTTGTAGAGTTTATATCCGCAAAACACACATGCACTCATGACATCGCTGCCCACACTAGTGCAATGCCATGCCACACATCTTAGCACATTTCCATTGTGCACTCTCCGGAAGTCTCTTGGTGAGAAAATCTGCCGCCTTCTTGCTGGCCTTCACATGATGAAGCTCAAAAATCCCCTCCTTCACCATCTGCCTCACCCAGTGCCACTTGATCTTCATATGCGTGTTCAGCCCATTCAGGATAGGATTAGTGGCCATGCCAATAGCATCCTCGCTGCCCGAGAAAAGTGGTGTAGGTCCCTCCTGTTCAGCTCACATGTCCTCTAGCAGCTTCCTCAGGAGCACAATCTCCTTGATGGCATGGTACATCACCATGTACTCAGCCTCTTCCGAAGACTGAGCAATCTCACTCTACTTCTTGGACCTCCAACTCACTGGTCCACCTCCGACCATGCAGACAAAGCCACCAACAGATGATTGATCCTCCTCTTCCGAGGTCCACGTAGCGTCGGTGAAGCACAACAGCTTCAAGGTTCCACATTCCCAATGAGTGACTGGTACTCATTCTACTGCTCATCCTCGAGTACATCATCCTTGTCAGCTGCCTCCTTCAGCTTGAAGCCTACAGGGAACGGCGTCATCACAGTGCGACCTCCAGTCACAACATTGCGCTCCATCACACCAAAGACGTAGTGTAACTGATGCACCTTCAGCCACCTCCTCTCAACATCCCTCTCGATCTGCAACCCCAGGTAGTATTGGACATCCTCCAGCATCTTGCACTTGAAGTTGTCATTCAACAGCTTCTGAGTCCTCTCAATCTGCTCCATGGAAGGTGAGAACAGCAATATGTCGTCGACATACACCAGCAGCAAGAGCTGCTACTCCCCTTCTCGAAGCAGGAACAAGTTGTGATCCGCTTGGGAAGTCTTGAAGCCTTCACCCAGCAGCACCTCCTCCAGCTTCTCGTACCAGCACCTGGGCGCTTGCTTAAGACCATAGATAGCCTTCTTGAGCTTGCACACCCGGCTGGTCCCATCCTCATAGCCGTCAGGCTGCGCCAAGTAGATATCATCTAGCAGCACTCCATTGAGGAATGCAGTGGTAATATCCATCTGCTTCAAGTACCATCCCTTCACAGCTGCACCAGCCAGCAAAGTCCTCAAAGTCACTGGCTTAGCAACGGGAGCGAAGATCTCCTTGAACGCTCCATTGCACCATCAGCTCCAGACCTCACATTGAAGACCCACTTGCTGCTGATCGTCCGTCGACCCTCGGGTAACTCAACAAGCTCACAAGTCCCATTCTCAATGAGACTGTTGAACTCCGCATCCATGGCAGCCTTGCACTCCTCCTTCTGGGGTCCACTCAGTGCCTCCTCCAATGTGGCTGGTTCTCCAGCCAGAGGTGTGAAGAAACAGAAGGCCATCTCCTCATCATCTCCTGCATGCACGCCTCGCAGCTGCCAACAGAAGCACCATCTCCTTGCAGTTGCACCACATGCACGCACTTCTCCTTGTGCATCACCTCCAATGTAGAAACAACCATGTGTGCGAGCCGTCGATACCAAGTCTCCCAAGAAGCTTGGCCTGAGGTAGCCGACGCCTTCACCGCCGCGCTTCCTCCAAATAGCTCCTCTCCTTGCGCACCTTGCTGCTCCTCCTCGGTGACGCTCTCCTCCATTGATGCCGCGGCTGCCGCCTTGCCCGATTTCCGTCAAGGGAGGACCGGGATCTGCCACATCCGCTTGTGGGCATCTCCCTTGCGCTGCAGGTCCCAAATGAGCCGCTCGTTGTTGTAGGCACGATAGCGCTCTAAGCCAATCGTCTCGGTGTTCACACCCGCATCTCCCAACCGGTCGGTAGAAATCAGGTTCGCGCACAAGTCCGGCACCCACAGCACGTTCTTCAGCCCCACGAGCTCTCCATCCGCTCCCATGAAGTTGGTGCATCCCATGCCAACGACCTTGACCTTGGCGTTCGTTGCGGATGTGACTATAGAAATCGGCGCGGGCTGAATCTCATCAAGTAGGTCAGCGCGAGGAGTCATATGCCAAGAGCTCCGGGAGTCAATCACCCAATGGGTGAGAGGGTGTAGGAGAACCTTGTCAGCCATGGTGGGGTCGGTTGCGCCTCCGTTCATGAAGAAGAATAACCCGGCCTTCCGCTCCTCAGATTTACCGCATTTCGCATCATCCTTCTCCTCTCCACTAGCTCCCATGACTCCCCAACTCCTCTTGCCACCTTGCCTGTTGCTTGATGAAGGCGAGGTCCAATCCTAAGATCGTTGGTAGCACTTCCTCCAACGATGTCCGCGCTTCTTACAGTAGAAGCACACCTCTCC